ATAGTGAAAGGAACAGCGCCTCAGTGACTTGTGGGGTAAGAGAGCGCAGTCCCGCCCACGTGTGATTGGAATCACAGAAGGAAAGAAAGAGAGAATGAGGCTGAAAAAAGAAATTCAAATAAATGCCGGCTAAAAGTTTCCCAAATGTGATTAAACACGCCAAACTAAGAGGATCAGAGACCCGAAACAGAATAAAGAGAAAAAGCCGCACCCAGACGCATCGTATTCAAATAGCCGAAAACTGAAGATAAGAGAAAATCTCATCAGCGGCCACAGCAAACACACTTGACTCGGGGAGACGATGAAACCCGAATTTTCTCAATAGAAAAACATCTTTCAAATGACCGAAAGCAGCATTCTACAACCAGCTGAAACGGCCTTCAAAAATGAGGCTAAAATAAAGTCACTTTCAGATAAAAGTGACGGGCTGAGTTTCCAGCAGACCCGCTTTACGGAGCTCCTAAAGGACACTGGGCCGAGGGCAGGCTACACAGTTGGGAGCCAGACTCTGTAGAAAGGACGCAGAGGACACTGGGAGTGGTGTGGGAGTGGGCAGGGAGGACAGCAGAAATAGCGACAAACTGTGGACCTCACAAGTAGGAGTATAGACATACTGGCCTGATGCATAGAGAGAGATAATTACATTACATCGTCGTAAGGCTATTACGTTGTATGCGAAGAATAACATTAACTCAAAACATTGCTACAAATTGAAACATACATTGCAATATCGGAGCAACACATTACATTGATACAAAAAAGGGAACAGAGAAGACTCTATATGTGACAAAAGACTTCTATCCAGAATGTATAAAGAACTCCTAGATAGCAATAACGAAAAGGCAAACAAATTAAATTATAGACCAGAGACTCGAATAGACGTTTCACGAGTAAAACTACAGAAAGCCAACAAGCATGTGAAAAGGTGCACACGCTCTCTAGCGATCAGGGAATTGCATCTTAAAAACCACATGGCGGTAGCACTTTACAGAGCCGAGTGATGGCGAGGATGTGGGTGGCTGCGGGCAGCACGTGAACCGGTACAGCTGTTTCTTAAAACTTCAAAAGTAAAACATAGAATGGCCCAGAATTCCACTCCTCAGTTTCCACTAAAGAGATTAAAAAAAAAAAATGCCCACAGAAAGCCTTGTATGAGGCGCACTGGGGAGACTTACTCATAAAAGTCAGAAGCTGACACGGATCCGGTGCCCGTCAGCAGAGAGATGGAAACACATTCATGCAACAGGGTGCTACCCAGAGGTCGGAGGATGCTGTGCGTGTGTGTAGCGCGCGCGTGCGCGCACACACACACACACACACACACACACACACAGTAGGGACACTGCATGTGTGCAGCACACACACATACAC